ATAATGTATTATAAATTTTGATATTTATTATTTTATTAATGATTTTTGTTATTTTTATCTGAATTTTGTATTACATTATAATTTTTTTGTACATGACAGAATGTGTATTTCTTTTATAACTACAAAAACTGTCATTTCCTCTTCTTTTAGTTTACTTATGTATTTATTTACCAATGCACATGTAATCATTTAAAAATACTTTTTCTCGAAATTGTTTCATAATTTCCTTTAAAAGCTTATTATGTGGTGTTATTTTAAACACTACCATACTAAGTACTTCTTCCTAATAAGCAAACACTTTTGTAAAGTATAAGTATGTATGAAAATCAATATACATTAAAAGTGAATAATATAATATATATAAGGTCATTATTGAGGATGTTCATTGTTATACTATTATGTAACAACTGTTGCAACTGACAATAAAATTTCTTGTATATTGTGATATATTGTTGAAGCAGTATTTCTTTTTCATTTTAAAATTTGTACACAGATGCAAATATAAATATAAACTTGATGTGAATGTAGTTATTTAATGTTTTTTTCTAAATATAAATTTATATGTTTCATATAACGCATATACAATGTCATATTTTAAAAGTACTAAAGTTTCATAAGATTTAAGGATAAATATAGTTTCTCATCATTTTAATTACTTATTTTATTTATCCTCATTTAATTAAATATAAATGTAAAGAAAGAAAAATAAGCTTTGCAACATAATGGATTCTTCTTTTATACACTTGTTTCATTTAACACTTTATTTAGTGCCAATCGTAACTTTACATAAATTGTGTATAGTAATAATAATGTTAGAGTAAAAAACTGTTTTTATTAATTTTAAAAGTTTTCAAAATTGTTTGAATTTAATAACCATATACATTGTTATAAGACTTGGAGTATAATAAGTTTTACTATTTTCTAGTATTGAAGTTTTTATGTTACGTGTTAGGTATTAAATGTTATGCTTACTTTGAAGTGAAAGATAGTTTATTAGTAGAACAAAGCTTTATTAAACATTTTCTAATAGAACGCACAAGTTTATTTCATTAAAATGTAATTGCATTTTTAGATGTATTAGGTATATTGCTTTAATTTGAAAGGAATAAAAATAAGATTATTTTTATTATATTTTCTATT